CCTATTATTTCTGTGACATACTTTCCGCCTGATGTTTCCAAAGCACGTGGCCTCATTTTGATGTCACTTAGTAGATTCAGCCCAAAAGTCTATAACAATTATGTCAGGGTTTGTTTGTGTGTGTGTCAGGGTTTGTATGGAAAAGAACGAATTTGGAAAATACCTCAGTAACTTCTTATATAAGACACTTAACCATATGACTTGATAATCCCATTTCTAAGTATAGACAAAGGAAAAATAAAAATGTCTACAAAGATTTGTACATAAATGTTTATAGCAGCTTTATAACAGCTACAAGCTGGCAACAATTCGTAAATAGCCTGAATGGTTAAACAAATTGTGGCACTTCCATACAATCAACACTACTTCCCATTAAAAAAGAACAAATTATTGATACAACAATAAGAATGCATTTCAAAAACTTGCTGAACGTTGGAAACTGGGCACATAGAGTGCATATTATATGATTTTATTTAGATGAAATTCTAGGAAAAGAAAAATCAACGTATGATGATAGAAATCAAAGTAACGACTGGAGTGGGGAGTGCAAGAGGGTAGGAGAATCTACTGCAAAATGGCAAAAGGGAGCTTTTGGGGGACAAATGTTCTATCTATTTATTAGGGTAGTGGTCACATGGTATGTCCATTTGTCAAGACCCATTAACTGGATACTTTGAATGTTACTATTTGTTTTATGTAAATTATACCTCAGTGAAGTTGATTACAAATCACAAAATAGAATCAAAGTTTTCAGATGTGGAATTTGTGGGCTTTGGCAACAACAAGTCAACGGGGTCATATGTCAAGGATAGCACAGCCAAATACACCTTTTCTCTTTTTGCCCCCTAATTTAGTCAATCAGTTTGAAGTAGTGTTAACCATGGATGTGAAATAATCAGAGCCCATAAAGAACAACATGAATGGACTTTGCTGACATGCAAAATACTGAGTTGTTTTATATATATGAGAAAATTGGCAAAATCACAAAACAATTATGCATATTGCATTGGCCATTTGATGTGGATAGTATAATCCCAGTTGTTTACTGTATTCTGAGAGGTGCAGTGTTGAATCAGAATGCTCACCAATTACCAAGCCATCCACGGGAGCTTCTGATGCAACTTCCCACCAAAGGATAACCAAGGAGATTCCGTTCTCCATACTGTTTGATCCCAGCCTGTTCTTACTGCTCTGTCTGAAGAGCTAGTGATAGGTTCTCAGAGCTGCTAAGGTAACTTTATGTATCTTTTCCACAGCACCTTTCACCTGCTCAATGAATCCCCATGAAATCTTGTGCCAGGATAATGTGGCAGACAGAAATAATGACAGCAACAATTTAGATGAATGCAGGACATCCCTGGGGTGTTTTTCACTAACATCTCATTGTGAGATAGGTGTTATTATCATCTTCTAAATGAATTTCAATGATTCTCTAACAAGTCCAAAGTCACACATCTAATAATAATCAGGGTAAAGCATAAACCCACATCGTCATCTGTCTGCAGGTTTTGTGCTTAGCCCATCACACCACCCACACCTCACAGTAAACTACAAAATAAAAAGCAGATTCCTGCAAGCACCATATTTTAAAGGGTGTGGTGTATTTGTTGTGCTCACTCCAAGCACCAGAAGTTTACTGTGTCCTTAGGTAATGTAACTGCCCAGCAAATTCTTCTTGCCCACTGCCCAGTTAGAGCTGATTTATCCAGATGGGAATTACAGTAGAGAAAGTTTAATACATGTAGAGCTGGCTAAGTGGGAGACTGGAGTTTTATTATTACTCAAATCAGCCTCCCTAAAAATTCAGTGGCTAGGGTTTTTAAAAGATAGTTTGGCAGGCAGGGGGCTAGGGAATGGGGAATGCTGATAGGTTGGGTCAGGGATAGAATCATAGGGAGTCCAAGCTGTCCTCTTGCATTAAGTCAGTTCCTGGGTGGGGGCCACAAAAACAGATGAGCCAATTTACCAGCCTGGGTGGCACCAGCTGGTCTATCAGAATGCAGGTCCTCAAACATCAATCTTAGGTTTTCTAATAGTAATGTTATCTATCAGTGCAATTGAGGAGGTTAGAAATCTTGTGGCCTCTGGTTGCATGACTCCATAATTCCTCATCTTGTGGCTAATTTTGTTAGTTGTGCAAAGGCAGTCTTGTCCCCAAACAAGGAGGGAGTTTGTTTTGGGGAAGGCTGTTGTCATCTTTGTTTCAAAATTAAACCATAAGCTAAACTCCTCTCAAAGTTAGTTCAGCCTATACCCGGGCATGAACAAGGGCAGCCTGGAGGTTAGATGTAAGATGGGGTTGGTTAGGACAGATTTATTTTACTGTCATAATTTTCCTATGTCACATTTTTCTTAGCGTCATAATTTTTGTAAAGGTGATTTCAGTAATATAAGTGGCTCAGATATATCTTTGTAATAATGTCTGCAGATTCCATTGATTCAGAAATTTAAGATAATAAGGTGCATTCAGAGAATAATATATCTATGCTTCAGAATGGACTGTGTCCATTTTACCAGTTAGTTTAAATACATGTAAACAAATTTAAATGCAATATAAAATGCACTCAAATGTAGATATAACTAGAATGTCATTCTGATGTTATCAAACAACAAACAGTAGTTATGCCTGCTTAGATATTTTTAACGCTATAGTTACTTTCCATATGTCATTATCAGTTCCCCTTCAGGGACAGTGTGGTTACAAATGATCATTTTGGTGCCTCATTAAAGTTACAGAATTTAACCATTTCATGCCCTCTTAAATAGACGTTATTTTTAAACTGTTTAATTCTTTCATTCTCCACTATTTTTCTTAAGATTTTTAGCTGGAAAATTAGCCTGAGGAGGTAACCCACAATACAGAAAATAGATTTTAGGCCAAGAGATATTAGGCTTATGTAAACAGAATTTATAATGTGCTTAAATATCCAACTACACAGGAATGATTAAAAACCTTTTAGTACATAGACACATACATTTGTAAAGAAATATGAAATGTTTTATTAAAATTTTTAAGCAAGAAGAAAATTATATATTCTATATATAATCTGATGATCAATTGTAACTGTGTATAACATGGAAACGAAGTTATTCTTAGAAAAGATTTTAAAAAATAACCAAAATATTAACTAAGGCTATGGGAATAAGCTTAATGATTTTTTCTATATATATTTTTTCCATATTGAGCATGCTTTATTATTATATCTAGAAAGTTTTACTTTCATTTAAAAGAAATTCTGCCAGCCGTTTCATAATCATAATAGGTATTTGATTATGCTGTATGGTAACTTGTTGAAACCTAGAAACTCATTTTTTGTAAGGCAGATACTCTTACTTGAACTTTTTGAAAACTGATTCCCTTTTAATTATATCTATTCTTTCTAGTTTGAAGAACTTTTCTCCTTGGTAGAAACATAAAATGCAAATTGCTTTTATAAGTCCTTGTGGGACTTCTCATCCAGGATCCAGCCAATTCCACTCTCACTCACCTAAGTCTAGTTTGAGATCTTGATAGATCTTATCCAGACTGCCACAATAAGCTGTTACTTGTTCTCTTCCTGTCAAATGATTACATGCACAATGTCCAGATTAAGCATACATGCTCAGTAGTTACTTCCCGTTTACACAGTATAAAGTCCAAGCTTCTTAGTCTGCTTTCAAGGCCGTTTATAATGTGATATAGGCCTTTCCTGCTTTGCTCTCACAGATTTTATTTGTGGATGAACAAAATGTGCTCTGCTCTGGTCAAATGACCTTCCTTGCTGATCTCTGGCATGCTATGGTTACCACCTCTGCATGGTGATTCACTTACAAGGAATGCCCTCCCCACTCAGCTGGTCCAATTAAAGGCTTCCTTGGCTATTAGTCTGAAGGATTTACACTCTCTCCTGAGCTCCTAGTGTAATACAGTGATTTCCCCTAAAGTATGCTTGCATTTGTTTGTGATATCTCTATCAGTATTACGTTGAACTGCTGTTTAAATCATGTAAGTTTGTTTAGCTCTGTTTCTTCTTCTTCTCAATCAGATTATACAGCAATTTGACACAGTGGATAGCGGCACAGACTCCCAAGCCTCCTGCTTGGGTTGGAATCCTATCTCCCTCTCTTATGAGCTCTGTGACCTGGACAAGTTACTTTATTTCAGTGTGCCTCAGTTTCCTCATTTATATAACAAAATGGAGATAATAGTGTCTATCTCATAGAATTAAAAGAAATAATATGTAAAGAGCTTGGGACAATGCCTACTGTACATTTAACATCAACTAAATATTAGCCACCATAACTGTTATTAGAAGCTATTTTAGTGTAAGGATTATGTTTCATGTTTCTTTATATCTTCCACAACCTTTAGAAAATTTTTACTAGGGACTGATGGGTAAAGATTTATATATTTGTTGACTGTTTTATCAATAAGACTAATTTTTGTTAATAAGACTATCCCCATTTGGCAAATCTTGGGGACTTTATTAATACTCTGTGGTGTATCAACATAGCATTAAGTGCTGTAAATACATTATTTTACGAAGTATTCACAGCAATTCTTTTCCCATATGGCTTTTATATGTGGTTTTTAAATTTTAACTTTAGTTTATGTATGTGTATGTATGTGTGTAGGCAATTTAAAAAGCCAAGTAGTACTTTAAGGACATGAAACAGTAGTTCCCCAACCCAGCATCCTTCCATAAAGTAGAAATATTCAGTATTTTTAACTATATCTTTAGATATATACCTTAATATCTTTATTCTTCATGTCTTACTATTTCTTCATCAATTTAATGGTATTATCTGTTGACTTCCTGTTATGAAGATTATAATTTAACTCTCTTAACATTTCCAGTTCCCGCATATGCTTTCCTCTCTCCTTCATCCTTCCAGTTTAATTAATTATAGTTTGAAATTAGCATTGTATTTATCTTATTGGTACTATGTAAAAATTGTTAACAAATTAGCATATAGTGCATTATTCATTTCCTTTTTTTAAATCAAGTTCTTTATACTTCTTTTAGTTGGCAATTGCCTTATTCTGTTGTTTCTTCATTTTTTTAAATACACCTTTTGCTAACTTTGCACAGAACCAGGTACTTCCTTGAAACGTGGTCAAAGACATTAGACAAACTATGAGTTCCGTTTTTTTTCCTTCTTCTCTTCAGAGTGCAAACCTCTTGTAGCTCTTCATTGTCTTTCACCAATCTGGACTTCTGTCTTCTTGGGACTTCCTGTTACTGTCATCCTGAGAATTACCTTACCACTTTTGTTATTATTGTTGGATCTCTGACTTCTTGAATTCTTGTCTTCCTTTTCTCATATTTCTCCTCATTTTGAAGGTGAGTGTCCTCTAATAGCTTCCTGGAAAAAAAGGAGCATGAGAGGTTAATTTTCTTTTTTAGATTTTTTAAATGACTTTAAATTCTGGGGTACATGTGCAGATCATGCAGGTTTGTTACACAGGTATACACGTGCCATGGCGGTTTGCTGCATCTAGCTCCCCATCATCTACATTAGGTGTTAAAAGGCTTTATTCTGCCCACAAACTTGATTGATAGTTTTTCTAGGTTTTAAAATCTAAGTTGAAATAATTTTTCTTAGGATTTTGAAGGCATTTCTCCATTGGCATCTAATTGTAGAATTACTTTCAGAATATTAATGTCATTCTGATTCTTGATTCTTTGGGTTTGATCCACTTTTATTCTGTTGAAAGTTATGGTTTTTTCTCTGTAAACTTGGGACTCTGAAATTTTATCACAATGTCCCCTGTGTTAGTCTTTTTCCATTCACTGTGCTGGACCATTCAGTCTAGAAATTTGTGTCTTCCAATTTTGGGAACTATTCATATATTATTCTTTTGATAATTTTTTCAGTATTCTCTTTTTAGAACTCTTATTAGGCAGATTATTAATCCCAGAACTCCTATTAGTTCTCTAAACTTTGTATCTTTTCTATTTTGCTTTCTCATCTTGTTATATTTTCTTAAAATTTCTCAACTTTATCATCTGTTGCTTCTATTGAACTTTTATTTTTGCTCTATTTGTAATTTCCATGAACTCTTACTTATTCTCTAAATATTTTTCACCAGCATTATTTACTCATTTAACATACATAGTATCTTCTTTTATATGTGATGATATTAATTATACAGGATTTTGTTTTGTTTTATTCATGGTTTATTTTCTTCTGTTTGCACTCTGTCTTCTGAGTTTCTTTTTGTCTGTATTTGTTAGTTTTGTTCTCTGTATTTCATGTTGGAGTCTTCCTCAATGTCTTATTATCCATGACTTTTCCTTTAATATTTACAAATGAGACTCCAGAAAGCTAGTTGTAAACTGTGTGTGTTTCCGGGTTGGCTTAAGTGTAGGGTTATTGGATTGGGAACTTGAGTGTTGGAAAGAACCCCATATGTTATCATTTGAAAGTACTTTCTCTTAGACTCATTTATTTCCCTAAAAAAATCCTCTGAAGTCTCACCTGGAGTGGAACAGAGAGTATAAGCCTAGCTACCAACATTCTGGGATCTTAGTCTCACCAGGGAGTATGGGTCTAACCATTCAGTGTTTGCCTTTCCTACCGTTTTTCTTCAACTGTCTGGTATCCTAGAGTTGAGAACTACTCTGATTTTGATTTTTCCATTTAATGCCCCAGCCTCCTCTCTGGGTAGGGGAGAATAGTCTTGTAAATGCTCTGCATAAAAGAAGGGTTCTTTGGGTCTGTTGACTTTATATAGACTTTCAACTGATCCTCCTATTTTCAGTTTAATTCCTCATCTCAAGAGGTTCTTGGTGATTCCAGTTTCTGAGCCTTTCTGAAGTTCTGCAGCATAAACAGACTGGCTGCGGGCAGGGAGCTTTTAGCTTTCAACATTCTGCTAAATCAGTAATCATTTAAACACCTGCCTGCATCTCCTATGCTGTTTATTCTTTTGTGTTTCATGCCTTTAAAAAATTCTTTTTAATTTTAGTTAAAATGACACTGTCATTTTAGTGACATTTTGAGAAAGAGTGAAAATAAATGTGAATAGTCACTTATCATTTTTCAATAGAAGTCACTGTATATATATATATATATATATATACACACATATACTACGTATATGTGTTACTGCTTAACAATTTCGTGAAATGCTCTCTATTAGCAACTTAAAAACAGAGACTCCTTTATCAGCCAATATTAATTTAGCATCTGGCTAGGAACGTTGACAAAGGTGGATATGTCAAAATAGAGAATAGAGGCACATGTTGAAAAACCTTTGCCCCTGGTATAGAAATGCCTAGCAAATAAGACAAACTGTGAATGAGCTTTTTCCTCTTAAATGGCTTAAAGAGGGGACTCTTCTTAACCAAAATGCTACCTAAAATGCAACAAAGTACATCAACATTTGTCTTTTGCAAAGCCAATTAACTTGTAATTTATATTTTAAGAAATACTCAGATTTGACTTATGTTTCTTAATAAAATTCCTTGACAAAAAGTGAATTCAAGGCCCAGGGTTTGCTGGAGGTAAGAATCCACCTGATAGGACATAGGTTTAGACTAATTTTTAATCCCGAATTTAGCAACTGTTTATCATGCTTCTACTTTGTGCCAGGAACTAGGACCATTGGCCATTTGATACCATTGCTTCCCCATGGATAAAGTAGTGGGGTGTGGAGACCTGTAGGGAATTTTCTTTCTCTAGAGCAGCCAGTCCTGAAGGATCACAGTTGGCTCAATGTATGCACAAAGCACTAATGGTGTAATGGTTTTGCTTCTAATTGAAGTGCTGTTTGACAAAGAAGGTTTTCTCCATTTCCAATATGTTACTGGAGTCTAAGTTTCCAAAAGGTGCTCCCAAAATAAAAAAATTTCTGTGACGGTATCAACGTGTACTTAATGGACAAATCAGATTTTTGAGAAATGTCAGTGGTTTGAATCTAGCAGCTGAAATCTGAATATGTTTCAGTGTTTCTAAGTGAAGCCTTTTCTGCTGTGAAGGACCCACGAAGTCCAGTGTAACTTCAGGATGAGCGGATGTGAGGTGTGGAGGGTCACACTGACAGCCTGCACGCTGCCTCCAGAACGTGATGTGCATTGCTTTCTGGCTCCAGCCCTTCCACCTCAGCTGCTTTGCCCTTTACCTAAGATGTGATTCCTTTGAGTACCCACCTAACTCATTTTACTTCAGGATGCAGATGAACTATTGTCAGCTTCAAGAAATCTTCCGGAACCTTCTCACACACCTTGAACAATATTATATTACAACATTTAACAAAGATCTGTAATTATTTGTTTTTGCCACTAGACCATAACCTTTTAAGGACGAAGATTAGGAATGAGTCATATTATTTCTCCAGCAACTGATGTAGCGCATGACATTTAAGATAGAGTCAATAAACATGAATAAGTGGACAATGAATGACACTGCCAAGAACAGAGATTTAGTTTAGTTCCCTTTCCTTTAACCAGCAATCTTTATCTGGGGGTTATGTATGTCACAGCCATCATCTCATGGGCTTATAATAAAACAAACAAAATAATAAAATAACATATCACTTAGCTATAAATGAATAGGGTCTGTGCATGGCACTTAATATGTGCCATCATAATATTAAGTAATTGCAGGGCGGTACAAACAAACCATTCTACCAGGCACAGAGAAGAATGATGCAGAGCCTAAAACTAACATAAACTCAAGGGGCAGAAAACAAGACAAAAAATATGCAAGCCAGATAACAAACTACATGCCATTTACCAGATTATAGTTCATTTTCCATTTAAAATTTTCTAAAATAAATAGTTAAAAATACCAACCCAGCCTCACCAGTTCCGTGGTTTCTATTAGTAAATGAACATGCTATGCTTTTTCCACTCTGTCAATTTCAGATTATTTCTCTTCTTCCCACTCATAAAGTTTCCCAGCTTCTATGGAAATCATTCCATTGAGCAATATTACTGTTCAATGCCTTCTGCTTGCTGTTGGCTACTGACCTTTCTTCAACCCTGCTTTTGATTTATGAAAACTTTGGGATCCTGAGAGTCTTCCTGTCTGTCCAACATCCACCCATTTTCAGGATGACATCATATCCTTATTTGATACTCTGGTCACTTACTGCCTTAACTTACTTCCATGGACCCCCTCCACTTCAGCCAGTCATTCCCATAGACACACCCTGGAACATGTCATCTCCTGGAATTGTTCCAGTTTCAAAAACATTTTTTTTTAAATGTCAGACTCTCTGAGCATAACCTTTAATTAAATTACTTTCAATCTATCATTCTTTGTCCTCATTGAGACCTTCCTTAGAATTCTTCCATAGATTCTATGGAATTCTATGGATTCTATGGAATTCCTTAGGATTCTTCCATAGATTCTTTACTTTGTATCTTCCTCTCAGTTCCTGTCTGTCTTCATTTCCTCCTCTCCTGATTGACATTCTATGGCCCATCACTTCCTCATTCTTTCCAATGCCCTTAACTTTCCTATCTTGTTTTCCCATTGTACCTGCCTGGGAAAATACCAGGGATAGATGAACCCTACTGTTGCCCATTTCTAAATCTTCGGATGATCTGCTAGAGAAAATAAGACAACCAAATGGACTCTAAACCATCCTAACTGAACTTTGAACACAGCATATGTTTCTTCATCAGCTCTCTGCCCCATCCTCCCGCTCACTTATTTCACACCTTTTTCACTTTTCTCAAGCTTCCACCCTTCCTCTCAATACACCTTTCACTGAGCCTCCATAGATATTGCCGTCTAATTAGCAGATCTTTGTAAGGGGAACATCAATCTTCCTACAAACATACTCTTCAAGGTTAATTTCCCTGGAGTTTTAGGAGAAGGAAGGTTTTGCTTCTCAAGCTTCTGGAAGCTGTTTTTCATGCGTCTCCTAATCTTTCCAAACTCCACCAAAGAAAAGCCTCCCTTGTTGCTGGCTGCCTCCTGGAATTCCTGGGCATGGCCTCCTCCAAGTCCTGTGTGGGTTTCAGCAGAGGAGTGAATGTGAGGCAGGCCACACTTTTTTTTTTAAAACTTCATACATTTATTCCTTGCAATGATATCAGGTAAAGCTATACTAATATATTAGATTTTTCTGAAGAGTTGGTGGTAGACATTCTATTGTATGAGGGAAATTAAATATAAAATAAAATAAAAACAATAACAAAAACACTTGGCTAAATATACTTGTAACCATAGTCTAAGAGAAAATAAGAAAGAAGTCAACTTATTCTCAAGAGGTACCCTCATGAGCAGATTCCATTTAATAGCATTGATCCCTTGTCTTACAGAGCTGCAGGTCAGTCCTACCTTTCGAGAGTTTCTTCTTCTTCAAGCCTTCGCACTGTGAAAATCTGTCCCAATTTAAGAATGCTCCACTACCCACCTTAGGGATTCGATCTGGCCATGGGATCCAGTCCCCAATCCCCAGGCAATGCATGTGTGGAAGTGATTCAAAGGAAAAATTGCCACATCCAGGAGGAAGGAGGTTATGTCTATCTTATTCAGTCTTGTAATCTAAGACCCAGCACAAAGCTTGAAAGATAGTAAGAGTTCAATAAGCATTTGAGGCAACAAAGAAGGAAGTCATAATGAAGACAGTCTCAATGTTGACTTTGCCTAAGTTACATATTGGATATGGTTTGTATTTTCTCATGGCAAATGCAGCCAGTCCTTGGCTTCAATTCCTTTTCCTTAGCCTCCCATCTAGTCCTTTTGGAGATCAAGTGAGCCTCCTACAAATGTTCATTTATTCTTGGTCAGGAAGTTCTTGGCCCAACTATGACTAGCAGAATAATTGTGGACTCTGCCATTTATCAGTCATCCTTGCAGAGTGCTGTATTCCTGACATTAACCCCCACCCCTACACTTAGTAGTAAATTAATATATAGTTGAACAGCAGGAAACAAATTAATGTTAACATTCACCTATAATTTATGAGCACTACTCCCTCTCTGGTAGCATAAAAACACAGCTTCATCAAAGAAGCTTAACATTTTGAGAGGCAGCAATTTTTTATATACCTAACTAATGGATAAACTAAGAAAATGAGAAAAGGAAGTCGGCACTATACTTGATAATAGAGCACACAGCTTTTGACTCCCAAATGTCTGCTCTAACTGCAAGACCAGAAACTCCCACTGCGACCTACTAGGACCTGTGCAAAATAAACAAACAACATTTTAGCTCAGAGGAACTAGCTGAGCTATCTGCGTAAGACAGAGACACAGAGAATCATCTGTTTGAAGAGAGATTTTTTTTTTTTTTCCAGAATTCTGGGCTTTTCAATATCTCTATTTTCTAATTATTTCACTCTCAGACTACAGTTTGTCTGAAGTTTCCATTTTTTCTCCTCTTAAAGACTATTTTTGGTCTCAGTTCCACATGTGGCTCTGTGTGTGGTTGCTATGTGTTATAATAATTGATGTGACACTTTTTCACATTGTTGGTATGGGAGAATTTTAAAATTTCATATGTAAATATGTAAAAGTTAACATAGAATTTGTACAGATTATTATAAAACTGTTATTGGATTTATTGTGAAGCATACTGACTCTCATAACTTGACCCAAAAGTGTTCCTGGGCCCGCATGGCAGGTCTAATACTAGGTTTTATGGTCAGTTCCTCAATTGCTATCAGTCTGAACCAGTGGTTTCCAACCCAGTATTACAACTCATTTTGAACATCAAAACCTGGATTCTTGTATAAATAGTAATTTTACTTTTTAGTACCCTTTAATTAAAAAATATATAATGATAAAAAGCTACCACAAACTCAGAAATGCTTTTAAATCATCCTGATTATTAATAAAAATATCATCCATATACTTTGATAAGTATTAGTCTATTAATTTGTCCAACAGAAAATGGTTTCACTAAGCATGAAAATTCCTAGATCCCTTCAAATTCCTGCAACCCCTCATGGGGACTCAGGGTTGCCCTCTTCTTTTCCTTTTCTTTCAGTCTTCATTTACTTCTGACATATTGCCAGTCTCCATGCAGACTACAAAATCACATTCTTCTTTACTTTTTTCCAGTTGCACTTTCATTTTCATGAACTTCTCATGTCCATTCTTCGGTATGTTCTTTTTAATTCAGTAAGTTCCGATTTAACAAACTTTATTGAGCACCTATTATGTGTCAAGTACTATACTAGACACATCCATGCATAATTTCATTTAACCTGACAGTAATTCTTCATAGTAACACTTTGAGGATGTTATTATATCACCACTTTACATAGGAGGAAATTAATGACTTGATCAGGTTGCAAAGTTTGTAAGTAAAGAAACGTGACTCCCAAACACTCTCTTGGAGGCCTCTAGTATTTCCACTGTATAGAATCTGCTATTGCATGTCATAGTACTCTCAACACCTATGTGAATCACATAGCAAGGTAATAGCTCTTCCATACCAATTTCTAGTCTAGGTGCTAGATGAGAGCAATAAGATCGAGTTCCTCATATCAAGGTTCTTATAATCTAATAAATGTAATGAAGTTGTAGATTTTTAACCCATATCCCATTTGCCCTGAGAATACTCTTGTCTCTAATCCTGATAACATCATATACTTTTCTGTTGCATTAGGATTAGAGACAAGTTCTGTTTAGAAATAACTCCAGGAATAGTTTTTATATTTTATTTTCTTATTGAAAATCAGTCAGATTTGCTTCAGCCTCAAAGAGCATGCTTATGTGAAATTAAATGAGCATGGGCAGCAAGCTGCAGTTTTTTGTTTTCTGAACAGGAAATGGGTTGAAAGGATGACTGAGCACACATAAAAGCAACCTGTTACTGCAAATGTTATTTATCGGAACTTTTAAACAGTCAAGTTTAGTTCCTTCTTATTCACATAAAAGGGATTTACTATATAAAACCAGATTCATAGAATAAAAGCATGCAGAATCAAATTGTAGAGATGCTATCGTTATTTCAAATTCAGCACCTGCTAACATCTTGCTAGGAACATGTGGCCTCTGTGGAAGTCTTTGTAACCAGGCAAACATGACATTGCCATGGCATTGTCTCTTGCAACAAAATAAGGCCCCAGTGTCTTCAGGGAGTTGAGGCCACTTTGGACTTCAGATCAAATTGGAGGCTAAAGAAGACAACCGTAAAGCACACCAGAGGCATATATGCACTCAAGCGCCCACAGATAGAAATATGTGGCTTCCACCGTTAGTATTCTATGTGCGTCATTTGCTCTTCTGCTAAGGTGTCTATTTTGTCTTTTGACAGAAGAGTAGGACTCTGAGAGCAAATATTTATCTTGGAAAGCATGATTAGCTTTTTATAACAATGAGGCAAACAACTCAAAAGAAATGAAGTAAGTCTTAGAGGTGGAAAGCTGTGTCTTTTCTGGCATGAGGAAAGGCTTATGTATGGAAGAGTGAACTGAGCAAGCGGCAGCAAGTATGCAGAAACTGGGTGTAGTTTCAACAGTGGAAATACTGAGATGCGAAGATGGAAATCATTCAGGCATGAGCATGTTAGGGCAAGCGTTGCCAAAGCTCTTCCACATTTTAAGTTTGTATGAAAATACTGCCAGCAGAAAAGAAAGGAGGACATTTCTGCGCAGCTGAGACTTTCATCTTTCTTTTAAACGAGGTTCTCTTACTTCCCCAATACTTCCTAGTCTGGCACAAAGTTCTGAGCTGAGAATCAAGAAATGTGAGTTCTGGTATCAGATCTCACGTTAACTAGTAGGCTTACTTTAGGAAAGCCAAAGAATAATAGAATTACAGCCTTAAAAGAAACGTTAAAATTTTCTTAATCCTATCATTTCATTTTACAGCAGCTGTAATGGAGCTGAAACCCATCTGTGCTTTGGTTTTTCCAGTCTGTTGAATGCGTTGAATTCCCCTGCCTCTATCAGAGAATTGTAGTGAGGATCAAATGAAATAGGAGGTTTGACCATATGTTCTCCCTTATGAGTGGGACCTGAACAGTGAGAATACATGGACACAGGGAGGGGCATAACACATACTGTGGGTTGGAGGTGGGAATGGCAATATGGAGAGAGCAGCAGGAAAAAGAGCTGATGCATGCTGTGCTTAATACCTATGGTATGGGTTGATAGGCACAGCAAACCACCATAGTATACTTTTACTTATGTAACAAGCCTACACACCCTGCACATTTATCCTGGAAATTAAAACGAAATAAAAAGAAACAGGAGGTGTCTCACTCTCATAACCTCTTTCTTCACTGAATTTGCTATTTAATGTTAGTCTTATTGTTTCATGGATTTTGTTCTATTTTTTAATTGTCTAGGCTTGTTTGTTACACTGCATTTGTATAGCTTTTGGTCTTACCCTGATTTTGAAGGCAAGGACCTATATTAAGTTGCAAATAAAGAGCCCAAAACATACATCTGTAGAGCATTTGGTAACAACTGAACTTCACTATGTGGTTACCATACACCAAGTACTAGGCTAATGCAATGCTTAGAAGTTGATAGCATTGAGCATTGATCTATCTAAGGAAGCTGAGGGCCAGAGAAGTGGAGGGGCAGCCCAAGAACACACAATTGGGAAGTAGTGGAGTAGGGACCGGACTCAAATTTCTCAGGCACCAAAGCCTTTACTTTTCCATGAAAACATGCTTGATTAGGTTAAAATGATTTTCAAATGTTAGACATAACTATAATAACTATTGCATTTCCCCAAGGGACCTAGGAGATGGGTGCAGTCTTAACTCATTTCAGCATTAACTCAAAAGTCCACAGTTCCGTTTCATATGAGACAAGGCAAGTCCTTTCCACTTACGAGCCTGTAAAATCAAAAGCAAGTTGGTTACTTCCTAGCAATTGGGGTACAGGCATTGGGTAAAAACAGCCATTTCAAATGGAAGAAGTTGGCCCAAACAGAGGCTACAGGCCCCACACAAGACTGAAACCCAATAGGGCAGTCACATTTCAAAGCTCCAAAATGATCTCCTTTGATTCCATGTTTCTCCATGTCTCTCATCTAGGTCATGCTGATGCAAGAGGTGGGTTCCTATGGTCTTGAGCAGCTCTGCCCCTGTGGTGTTTTAGGGTGTAGCCCCCCTCCTGACTGCTTTCATGGGCTGGCATTGAGTGTCTACAGCTTTTCCAGGTGCCCGATGCAAGCTGTCAGTGTATCTACCATTCTGGGGTCTGGAGACTGTGACCCTCTTTCCATAGCTCTACTAGGTGGTGCCCCAGTAGAGACTCTGTGTGGGCGCTGTGACCTCACATTTCCCTTTAATAGTGCCCTAGTAGTGGTTTTCCATGAAAGCCCCACCCCTGCAGCAAACTTCTGCCTGAACATCCAGGCACTTCCATACATTCTCTGAAATCTAGATGGAGGTTCCCAAACCCCAATTCTTGACTTCTGTGCACTGGCAGGCTCAAAACCACATAGAAGCTACCAAGGCTTGAGGCTTGCACATTCTGAAGCCATGGCCAGAGCTCTATGTTGGCCCCTTTCAGCCATGGCTGGCGTGGCTGGGATGCGGGGCACCGAGTCCCTAGGGTGTATACAGCACACCTACCCTGGGCCCATACCATGAAACCACTTTTTCCTCCTAGACCTCTGGGCCTGTGATGGAAGGGGCTGCTGTGAAAAACTCTGGCATGTCTTGGAGACATTTTCCCCATTGTCTTGGGGATTAACATACAGCTCCTCATTACTTATGCAAATTTCTGCAGCCTGCT